CCCTCCCCCCCCCCCCTTTTTTTTTTTTTTTTTTTTGCTTTCTTCTCCTTCCACTCTTAGCCCTCCACCCTTCTTGCTGCCCCAGCTGTTGTTACCGAGAAGGCCTTTAGCAGAAGGGTGATATGGTGTTTGGACCTGACAGGACCAGGCCAGGGCTCAGTCTGGTCCCCTTGACACAGCTGGATCATTGCTGTGGAGCATGCGTTGCTCTGCTCTCCTGAGATTTGCAACCACATTCCTCTTCTTGGATTGGGGTGAGCAGCTGCTTGGCAGGACTCAGGATGGATAATTTTCTGTAAGACGGCCTATGCTAGAGAGCATTGGCCTTGCCAGCAATACTGCAACTGCCAGACACAGGTGTGACAACTCACATTTACACCCAGGTGTGTTGGCAGCAGTGCACAAGGGTCACATCTTCTTTGGTATTCAGCCTTTCACAGAGCCAGGGCAACCGGATGTGACCACCAGCAAGTCCCTTTGCACTGCCCAGCACTGGCAGCTCCACAGAGCCCCTTCCCCGAAGTCCACGGCAGATTTGACACCTCAGACGACTGGCTCCAGCACCTGCTGAGTTCAGCTCCTTTCTGCAGCTCATCAAAAAACATCTGAACTGTAATGAAAAAAGTACACGATGGCAGACAGCATTTTCCACAGCGCACGGTTCCCATTTCCAGCAGCTCTGCCCCCACACACCTGCTGCAGGCCAGATCCGGAGGGCAGTGGGGAGCCACGGCTGGTGTCTGTGGTGTCTCTTCTCTGCCTGCCCCAAGCACAGCAGGCCTCATGAAGTACAACTAGACATACGATTGTATAACACCCTCTAAAACACCGTTCTTTATGTGGTATCTTGGCATTTTTCTGAAAAATATAACATGCATATTAAAGGGTAATGAGCATTGCTACAATGCGCATCCCACACCCCCCCAGCCCACAGACACACACACACACACACACACACACACGAGCACACTTTCAATTGCACATGGATAGGTGTACATACATAGCCGGATGCACGTGCACCCCCACAACACACAGTGAGAAGGGCCATGGCTGTTGGTTTGCTTCCAGCTGCTCTGTCCATCTGGAGGGACTGAAAAGGACGGGACAGGGGTTGTGGACGTGGGTGGCTCACACTTAGTGAGCCAAGGGCCTCCTGGTGGCCTGACCTGGCTCCGTCCCCCTGTACCTGCAGACACACCCACATCCGTGAAGGTAGTGTTGCCAAGTCTTGTGAGAAAAAAAGTGGCATTGCCTTTAAAAACAAGCCCAAAACAAGCCCAGCCCATTTCAAAGATAGGGGAGTGGGGGTGCTTATCAACCCTCAACTCTCAGAAAATTAAATCGACTTTAAAAAATATCAAACCCAATTCTTCTTCTTCTAAGCGGACTTGGCAACACTGCATGAAGGACATGAGTGAGACTGCCCCAGGCCCATTTCACTGCAGCTGCTCTTGGACTCCTGAGAGCCAGGAGCTGAAAAGCAGCCTCAGAGAGATGAGCCCAGAGGCCCCGTACTGGATAATTTCTGGGTTTGAAGCATGTCTAGGGGTGCAGGTGGGTGGGACCGAGGCAAAACAGGGTCAGGCCTATCATGGCCAGGGCCAGTGTGGTCTCTATTTTCAAGGAGGGGAGGAAGGAGGATCCAAGCAACTACAGGCCAGTAAGTCTCACCTCCATCCTTGGTAAAGTCTTTGAAAAGATTATTAAGGCTCATATTTGTGGGAACCCAGAAGGAAAAATTATCTTGAGGGGAAACCAGCACGGGTTCATAGTGGGTAGATCATGCCTGACTAATCTAGTTTCTTTTTATGACCAGGTTACAAAACACCTGGACGCAGGAGTAGGGGTAGATATTGTTTACTTAGACTTCAGGAAGGCCTTCAATATGGTATCGCACCCCATACTGGTGAGCAAATTAAGTGGTGTGACTTGGATGATTACACAGTCCAGTGGGTGGCAAATTGGCTAGAGGGTCGTAACCAAGGAGTGGTGGTGGATGGGTCGGTATCGACCTGGAAGGGTGTGGGCAGTGGGGTCCCGCAGGGCTCGGTCCTTGGACCGATACTCTTCAATGTCTTCATCAGCGACTTGGACGAGGGAGTGAGTTGTACTCTGGCCAAGTTTGCGGATGACACAAAACTGTGGGGAGAAGTGGACACGCCGGAGGGCAGGGAACAACTACAGGCAGACCTGGACAGGTTGGACAAATTGGCAGAAAGCAACAATGCAATTCAACAAGGAGAAATGCAAAGTGCTGCACCTAGGGAGGAAAAATGTCCAGCACACCTACTGCCTGGGAAATGAGCTGCTCAGCAGCACGGAAGTGGAAAGGGATCTCAGAGTCCTAGTGGACTCCAAGATGAACATCAGTCATCAGAGTGATGAAGTCATCAGCAAAGCTAACGCCACTTTATCGTGCATCAGCAGATGCATGACAAACAGAACCAAGGAGGTGATACTTCCCCTCTATCGGGCGCTGGTCAGACCGCAGTTGGAGTACTGTGTTCAGTTTTGGGCGCCGCAATTCAAGAGGGATGTGGATAACCTGGAGAGGGTCCAGAGAAGGGCCACTCGTATGGTTAAGGGCTTGCAGGCCAAGCCCTATGAGGAGAGACTAGGGCACCTGGACCTCTTCAGCCTCCGCAAGAGAAGGATGAGAGGTGACCTTGTGGCTGCCTATAAGTTCATCACGGGGGCACAGAAGGGAATTGGTGAGGCTCTACTCACCAAGGCGCCCCTGGGAAATACAGGAAATAATGGCCATAAACTAGCAGAGACCAGATTTAGACTGGACATTAGGAAGTCTATGAGTCTATGGCTGAGTAATGTCATGAGTCCTGTGAGGCCACGGGGAAAGCTCCCCATGAGGAGTAGACAGCAGTGTGTGTTGGGGGGCCTTGAGATCCACGTGCTCCTAACACCCTGGTGCCTCAGTCTTGTGCTCAGCTGAACGGCAGCTCTTCTGGGAGCCAGGCACTGCCGGGGGGTTGCAGAAATGAAGACATGAATAAACCTCCATTTATTATCACCCCTGGGGGAGCTCGGGAGCAAGCCCTGGTTGTACTGTATTTGGGGTCAGGAAGGGGAATTTTACCTTATGGTGAGATTGGTAGAGACTTTGGGGGTTTCTGTCTTCCTATGGAGTGGGGGGGGGGGGGGGGGCATAGCCCTTTTCTACCTTGAACCTCTTGAGCATGTATTTTTGACATTTCATAGAAGCAGGACATTGGCTGCCGTGGTTCCTGTGCTTTACTCGTGGCAGGTTAGGATGTTACATTTTTCTTGTGTCAGGGCTGAGGGTAATTTTCTGTGGAGTTTAGGTTATGGTTGTATGGGATGGTTTGGATAGGGATGATCATACCTCTAGCAGGGGGCCGGAGTACCTGACCTCTGGAGGTCCCTTCCAGTCCTACTTATCTATGACTTTATGATTTCTCCTCATGTGCAAAATGGGTGCAATGATGGTTTCCTCCCTTTTCCTGCATCTTGTGAGTTGTGCAGGAAAAGTGCCATGGCAGTACAAGAAAGTATGAATGGATGCCTGAGCCTGGAAGCAGAGCTTGTCTTCATCATCACATCTGTTCCCACGTGCCAGGCTGTTCTCCCTTAAGGCAGCTGGTTGCACCTTCAAGGGATGTTACCACAGCTGGGAGCTGCTGAGGCCGTGCAGTGCCTGGGAGTCCGCAATGCCCAGAGCCTTTTGGGGCAGCTGTATTAAGGCCGGCTTATGACATGCAGGGCTTCCTCCACAGAGAAGGAATTCTTTATTTTCCTGGAAAAATAGGATTTCCCCTGTGTTGTGCTAGCAGAGCAGAGTGTAAGAGCTGTGTCAGGGAGGAGAGACTCGCCCAGTTACTGTATGTTTTCTGCTTGCACCACAAGCCGAGGTGTCAGCCCTGCTAATGTGTAAGTGTTTGTGTCTTGCTCCAGCATTTGACATGGGAGTAGCTCTGAAATGATGCAGACTTAATTTACACTGCAAAAAACCCCACACAGGGTAAACAGGCAATGAGACAGGTCGGGCACCCACACAGCTCACAGTGATGTACAAATAAACCGAGGCTTTTAATACTTGTGCCTGCACATTAAACTTCTTGATAGAAACTTTTTCTAACTGCATCAGGGCTTGCTGACCTGTGCAGGAAATTAGCACCTCACTTCCTGAGCACACTGGCTGGTTATACTGGGTTAACTGACGTGTTGTACCAGGAGGTCTCTTGG